CTGAATATTAAAAGTTTTCTAAAAATATTCAGATTTCGAAAATAAAATTCATTTAAAAATTCATTTATAAATGATAGAAGAGATCAGTCAATATGACGTCATGCCTTCAAACGCACCGGGGAGAAAATGTCTCAAAGGATTAACTAAAATTCTTTTTTTTATGTAAAAAATTTATTGTGTAACCCATCAAGGATACTTCTTTAGTTATACTGTGCTCAAGACTGGGGTCACGTTTTCATAAAATAGATGAATTGAAACGTAATTTTCACAACACATTTTTATGTATAACGAGCATCGAATATCAAATATCCTGTTAAAAGAGATCGGAGAAAACAAAATCTTTTGGGCAAAGAAAAGTGACAATCAAAGTGAGTAGTTCCAAGTCAATTGAAGTGCTGTACATCGTCGTAATATAGTCAAAGAGAGACCTTGTTAAAGCATTACAAGTAATAGGAACACAACCATAACCTGAAATCAAAACTCAAACATCCAATACTTATCTACAAATTCGTAAATCAAACAGTTACCGTAAGTTTCTTGATGCATAAGGCAAATAATATGTATTGTGTGTAATATAAGCTCGATCTGACCTCTTAAGACTGTAATTATTGACAAAGTAGATTTGCAGTTTAAATGAAACGGAAGACATTCATCACTTCTTAAATAGATGTCCGAACATGAAGGAAATTCGAATAATGTATTTTGGAAAAGCTTTACTGATAAAAATAAAATGACAGTGACATTGAACGATCGTAATTAGGGTGATCAGGTAAGACTAATTCCATGCTTGAAAAATGCACCAAAATATGGAACTAAAATATATACAGGGTATTGTTTTTAAAAAGTCTTCTGTGAATAAAATTAAAGCTTGTAAATTAGTTTTAATTTATTCATAGTCCTATTACCGACGTTTTGAAGTTTCTTTAATTTCTTTCTCAGGTCGGAGTATTATTACAATTGCTTTTGCAAACATATAAGGCGGTTATTTATACCGGATTAAGTTTTAAATGATAAACATTAAATTAAATCCCATAGAATATATAAATAATAAAATCACAGTTACTATAATCAAAATTTTTAATTTTTTTGTTTTTTTTTTGTTTATTACAACTTCGGACTGTTCATTTTCTCTAGCAAATCGATTTTTTCTTTAAATAATCAATATAAAAAGAGTGATAATTAATTATAAATTTCTTAATAAGGAGAACCGAATGAAACTATTACCTTCTGTACAGTTGTTAGACTGTATTTTTAATAGGTACTATCAAAGTTACACATATAATATAAAGTACAATGTGGTGGTCATACTAGACTATTTTAATATATTGATCTATAGAACAATTTTAAAGATATTAATATTTAAAGATATAAAGATATATTAATGATACTAATGATGATACTAATATTACCACATTTTTAATGATACGGTTCCTAAATGACTGAACAATTGTACAAAACTATTCACAACAATAAAAATCTAAAGACAGGCTATTTTCAAAATATCAGAATCGAAGATCCCGTATTTTTTAATTTTTTAAAACTTGTCTTATTTTTTGATCACAGTAGTAATGCATAACCTAAAGTTACTATTTCTTCATTGAATAATACAAAGGAAAATTGAAGTTAGGTCTGCTATAAGTACGAAAAACTGATCATGGCTTAAGAATGTTTACAACTGAACTGAAGTAAGCGCAACAGGATACTTATATATTTACGAGTTCATTTATATATTCACGATAGTCACGTTCTTTGTGCCTTTCCGGCTTGGATCTTCTACTTGGCAGGAAGGTTTTATCCTTGTTGGATATTAAGGTTTTCTCAAAAGCAGATACTTTTTCCTGCTTAGCAAAGTTGGATTAGCAGTACATGTTCATACTATTTGTTATCATCGTACCTTACATACTTATTATATTTGAATAAGTATGAAATTAGTCGACTCAATCATATAGTGTTAAAAAAAAATAAAAAAAAAAGACTAAATAAAACAAAAGAATATTATGAATAATGTTTTCCCTTATTTGGGCTTCAACAGAATATATTGATTTCTTTTCATGAAAGCAAAAGTTATACTTTCAGCTTCCTTTTAGTACAGATAAGAGTCACTAATTTCATCTGTCCTTCAGCAGATACAAAAATTCAACAATTGTAAGATTCGTGGAATCAATTCCTTAAATTTACAACCTACCACAAATAAAAATTGGTTAATAAAAGCTGTGTTTGCTTTGTATTTTGTGTGTTTACACATAAATTTTGTGACTATCACAAATTGAAATCTTACAAGCAATTGTAATTTGTGCCACCAGCCATCAGCCATGAGCCATGAGCCAGTAGCCACCAGCAACACTAAACCCACAATCTCGAAAGTTTGCTCAAATTTAGCGCAGACCAATAAACAAAAAATCGTACAAGTAAATAAAATAAATAAACTTCTAAATTTAGAGAAAAAACTACATGAAATGTACACTTGAATAAAATAAAAAAAAAAAATTATAAAGAAAAACATCAAAAGGATAACGTGAAAAGTCATTTGTGTTGTGTGTTCTAGAGAACCATGGCTCCTTTTCTGCTGTGCTCCATCGCTCCACCGCTCCATTGCTCCATTGAAATTGTGCTCGATTCTTGGTCTCAGTCTCAATAGTAGTCGTTGAAAGGCGGTCAACTACGGTCGCTGGCCATTGTGTTGACAATAAAAACGCAACTTAACGACAACCAAAACCAAAACCGAACAAAACGAAATGAAACCCAACTAAACTAAAACGAGAACCGAATTTTCTATTGTTCTCATGTGCATACAGCATACAGCGAGCAAGGCGGTGAATAAAAGAGTTGTGGCTACACAGCTACACCATTACACAATACACAATTACACAAATCTACAATGGAACATTCGCGTGAGTGCAGCTAAAACGGAAGCAGAAAACCACTTTAAATGGTTTGACATGTCAGCGTTGACATAAAATATATCACAAATGTAAAGTTTTAAGTACTCAGCGAGGCGGCAAGGAGTGAAAAAATATATGCTTTTGGGGTTTTTAGTACAGATTAAGCGAAAAAAAATAAAAAAAATAAGAACATTGATATCGATAAAAGCTAAAACGTGAAGGGTTTAGGTTTCATTTGACTAAAAGTAAGGCAATTTAAATCTTAAAGAAAAATATTTTTACTTGAACTGAAATTTCAATTGAAGAGACATTTCTTTCTGAAATATAAATATTTATTTTATTTTTTATTATTTTAAGAAAAAATTCTATAAGAACATGTCCTTAAGTACACGATTTCATAAACTGACTTATAGCCAGTATTTGTTAGAAAAGGAGAAATAAATTTATATTAAATAGTATTTAATTAAAAATAAAAGGAATAAATAAAATTACGAAAAGAAAAATACAAAATGAATTGCAGTCACAATCCAAAGTATCATAAAAATAAAGTAACCATTACAAAAACGATTATTAGGATAATATACCAGGATTAATAAAATTCAAATCACTTATTGGTTTCTGTAACAATAAGAGATATCAGGATTGTATGAATCTATCAAAAGAAAAACTTACAACCATCACAGGATTCCTAACGGGACACTGTAAACTAAAATACCACCTTACAAGACTGGATATACAAACGGATGCAAACTGTAGATTGTATGAAGAATTTAAAATAAGGAGTCAGTCACATGTGTGCTGGTAGAATGACCTGTACTACTGTACATACGAAATAGTTTCCTGGGAATGTATATTCTTATGGAAGAGGCAACCAAATACTGTAAAGTATGTTCTATACTACTTTTAATTGATGTAGCAGGACTTAAACCTTAACCCAGGCGAGGCACAATAGACCCGACGGTCGCAGTGCTACATCACTTAACAATAATAATAATACAATTCATCCTTATTAAAACTATATCCACAAATGCATTCAAAGTCTGCAATTTAATTTCAACTTAGAATTGCTCTTGGTATGATCATAAGCTATATAACTATAAGATATATACAATATTTCATATACGTTCATGATGTGTTGAATTTTTTATTGTATGTATGATCTTTTGTAAGCATATTACAAAAAGACAGCGGTTTATTTCCAAAATAACATACAAAACAATAACACCGCTGCTTTATTTAATCCAACTTATTTAACCCAACTTAAAAACCCTATTAAGTGGTTTATTGCAAATGCTTTTTTAAAGCATTTAGAACATTTCAAGTTAATTAATAGTTAGTTACTTAATTCTTCAATATTTCAAAAAAAAAAAAATAAAAACAATTTGTAAATATGTGTTTTTTTTTGTCCTATATCAAAGAAAAGCATTTGAGAGCATTTCGAGCAAATTTCTGCAAAATAAGGTCAATTTTAATTTTAATTTGGACAATTCACCGTAGTACCGTATTGTACAGTACAAAATTTAGCTATTGTGAATAGTTTTAAGAAATGAATGAAATTTTCATATGTGACACAAATCTAATAAATTTCAAATTTATAATTCAAAGTAACATAAATATTTTATGAAAATAGTGAAGAAATTTGCTTAACACAATATCCACGAATTCCTATAAATGTTGCAATTGTATCTGTTTTTGTTTTATTTATTTCGGTGTAAAAGCCCGAATATTCGCCATTTAATGAAAACGCTTAGAGCGAGTTTAAATTGTTATAAATTAACTTTAATATAAATGTGGACTTGAATTGGAATCTTAAAATAATGCAAGCAAATGCTTAACACAAACTACACTCAGAAAAATAATTCAGTTGATTTAATCAGATTTTAACCAAATCTCAGTTTAAAATATATTTAATCGACTCATCATATTGGTTCAACCATACCAAATGTTGGTTTTCATATCTTCTCTACTACATGAGCTGAAATTTTTCTAACAAAATAATCAGATCAATTTAACTTGTATGTGGTAAGATCATATTTTTCTGAAGAATAGACCATCTGGTCTATTCTTTAAGCTACGAAGTTAAATCAAAGGATAAAGCAGTTTAATTATTTAACTTACCTCCATAAACCTCGCAGGTCACTTCTAGGCTACCACCTTCTTCATAAGGACCTGCACGTGATTCAATGCGATTATGTCGTTCATTTAAAATTATTGGTATTTCCGGTGGAACTGAAACAAAAATAATTTCATTAAGTTTTAATAATTAAATTCAATAACATTAAAGAAGGTTTCACTACAACCATGCTGTATAAAATGTCAGAAATTTCGATCTTGAAATATTGAATATTCATTAGCCAACATTAGTTAAGTGTTTGTCCAATATTCGAAAGTATTTACAACTAATAGTTGCATTTCTCTAGCATTTCATGTTAACATATGCTGCTAATTTTTATATACATCTTAGGGTAACTCTTCCTAAAGTGTTTATCCAGTATTACCGGTGTTTAAAGCGATAGTGTGGTTTACACGTTTTAAAACAACTAATATGTATAAAATATGTCTCTATCCCAATTCTTAAGACCTAAGTGAGCCGCAACGCTTACAAGACGGGTCAGAACCGATATCTACCGGCAAAAAAGTATATTCCACACTATATAGTGAACGTTAATCGAAGTCAAATGTGTTTTAGTTGTAAGAATGAAATATATAAAAATTTCATTGCTGGTTTTTTCCCTTGAATTTGGTAAACACATAACAACAAACAACAAAAACCAAAGCAACTTTTATCGTTTCAGGACATAAATTTTCAAAACCCGAAACGAGGAAGAGTTAAAGTTTCATTTAAGCCACAAACTGCGCCTGCATGAGCTGCCGAACACACCAACATAAAGTGGAGTTGGCGTTGGTATTTATGTCAGTCGAATGCATACATGAGCCAGAAACTAATTGCTTTTAAGGACTCGTTTTTGTTCTTCGAATCTCAAAGACAAAACACAAACATTAACACTAAAATAAACTAAAATTTTCTGTTTGCATACTTAAATTTATTTATACAAAACGGAATCAACCGCTCTCGGTTTGTTTGGGAATTTTTCTTTTAATTGAAAGTGTGCAAACAACTCTTTAGCATATTTGCATATTCATTATATTATTTTGGATAAATTTGTTCCTTTTTTCTTGCTCTTGTTTTTTATTAATTTTGCAAAAAATATTAGCAGATTGTTTACAGAACTCAAAAAATAAATTATTTCAATGAGAAAAGGATCAAGGCTTGCTTACTCACCGACAACTTCCAAATTGACGTTGCTATTTCTAGTTTGCGAAAGTTTGAAATCCACTCTACAACGAAAGTTCCCTGCATCCTTTTCCTGTGAATTGCAGAAAGTAAAATGTAAACAAATAAAGATTATAATGTATGCAGAGTTTTATTTTTATTTAATTTGTGAAGCTATTTTTATAAAATTTATTATGCAAAATTTGTTTAACCAACCTGTACGGGATTTACTATCAATTCTGCGGGCTCTTTATGTGTGCGAAAAATGGCGCGATCTTCCAGAACATCCTCATCACGCCAATGCGAAGGTGTGCCTGCATGAGCGCCTCGGGTGTCGAAACTGAAAATCAGAAAGGATTTTAATTTTATACAGAAAACATGGCAGGTATTTTTACTAAGTGATGGAAAAAATCCTTTATGGATTAAAAGTACTTGAAATAAATTTATTGATACTTATGTGAGATAAAATTTGTTTATAATGGATTTTGTTGGGAAAAAGTTTTTGAAATAAATTAATTTTAATTGATGAAGATTTTGTAAAATGAAATAATAATACCAACGTTTGAAATCTTTTGTTAAATAAAGAATTTTGTTTTTAATCACTAACAAAAATAAATTTATAAATTTAAAAGCATATTTTGGAGACATACAGAAAGTTTGTTATTAGCCATTTCTGCAATTAAAGAATATTAAAAACGGAATATAATAAGTACACTATCATTAGATATATATTACATTTTATTGATATAAGATTAAAATTTAAAAACAAAATTAATAAATTATTTTTTTTGTAATCAAATATAATATCGTGGATTGATAACTTATGATCTTTGATCACCTCTGCCATATTATTGCAACAACATAAGAAAATTTGGGAAGCCATTATCAGTGATAGCCTATTTCACAAAATATAGGACTTCTAGGACTGAATCCATTGAGAAGTCACATAAGAATAATAACTTGCAGAGAAATCGATGAAGATTCAGTAGAATGAAAATTAGTGATATATTTTAATTTTTTCTATAAGTCTCAAATAATTCTTTACGAATAATTAAATACAAAAATTTTTTCCCAGACTACTGGTGATGGGTATTTAGCAATATTCGAAACAGCTGTATGATCAGCCAAAAATTCAATTGATTAAAATAATATAAAAAAATAATTGTTATTGTTTAGGTTAACTACTTTACGAAAACCCCTTTATCATTAATTTTTTTAATAATTATAATTATTTATTATAAAACAGTAATTTTTGATAATTAATTTTTTTATTGAGTAACAACAAGATTTATGTTAGGTGTATTCAATAACAGAATATGGATTAAGTATGATAGCTTTAATAGTTTCCATTTTTTCTCATATTCATTAGTGATTTTATTTAAGATTTTTTTAAAATTCTTTTATTTACATTACTACATGATTAAAGGAATAATATATATATTATTATCGATTTTCTTCTGGTATATTGCAAACAAACATATTAGACTTCTGCTCTACAAACACTCTCAGAACATATCATATTAATACAATATAGTAGGAAAAAATGTTAACTAAACCAGCTGGAAGACAAATCCTTCTACAAGTTCTATTTCATAAAATTTCATGGGGAAGAAAAACAAATAGATATGTATTTGAAATTTTTTGAAATTTGTAAAATAGAACATCCACGAAAAAGAGCTAGCTATCCACCATGTTAAACAACATAGTGATAATTAATCACAATGACAGTGATTATTGATCACTATTACAATTATGATTGATCACTATAACAGTGATGGTAAATCATTAAAATAGTGATGACTGATAGTTATGATAGTGATGAAAGTAACACATATCTCCACGTAAGTCTTAATCGCCCTGTACCAAGAGCTAGAAAGAAAGAGGGATAGAAAGAGAGCGAGAGAAACATAGAAATATGTTGATCGCAGGAGAAAGAGAGCTAATTATACATATATCGGATCTATTTTTTTCAGTAGAAGAAGATTATGTTGATGACAACAAACAGAAAACACTTCTTATCACATGTAATTTTTTTATTGTTTTCTAAAAATTCACTTAATGTGAACCTGTCTTCTTGAAAAATATAATGAAATATTTTGTTGAAATTTTAAAACTGGGATGATGACGTCTGAATGTAGTGAATTTAATATACATCATTATTAATGTTTAATATTATCCTGTATTATGAAAACGGTACATGGGATTATCTTATTATTGGTTTTTATAAACCATATAAGCATTTATATAGTTGAAGTCATACAACCTAAGCATGTTTTTTGTGAATTACAATATTAGCAAATATGTATTTTTTTTAAGTAAATAAAAGTATTAATATATAGACAAGGATATATAAGTATATACTCAGTATATACTTGTCTACTTATATTAAATAATTTTTAATGGTAAAATTAACTTGTCTGCAAAAGTAAAACAAAAAATTTTATTTGAAATTAAAATTATTTCTAATTGCCATGAAGGTAAAACTACAATATTTCTAAAGGACACTTTAATGTTTTATTATTTTGTAAAATCTTAATATTTCACTTAATCGCACTTGACATTTTTGTGGCACACAACTCACCTATAAATTGGGAGATTATTTTTATACCAAACAACAAGTAAAACTTTGTCGTCCGGTAAGCTCGAACCGACATCACATTTTATCTGAGCTGAACTATTAACCAGCACTCGAAGTATCTCGCCATCTGCAAAGAGAAAGAAGAAGGGGATAACTAAAGTAGATCGCAAATAAATAATATATTTATAAATATATACATACAAATACATATATGTATACACAGAAGAAATTACTTATATATATTTTTATTTCTATATAAATATACGTTTATATCATTGATTTATTATATCTATCAGCAAATTTATCTAGCGTTCATTGCTGGCGTTCACTAGCACAAAATACAAAATAAAACATAGAATAAAGCCAAACTGATGCATTGCTCAATATATACAAATGACGGTACTTGTATGTATGTTTGTCGTGTTCAGCACACATACACACACATACACATAAATATGTATCTAAATAATGCAATCTGAAAATCACAATTTCACTTAAACGAAATGCAATATAAGAAAAATTGATTTCAAAGTTTGCAGCAGCAACATTTATTATGAGTTGCCGATGCTGGCACTGCACTGCTGCAGCATTTGCTGCAAGAACTTGTCAGAAATGTCCGACAATTTGCTACAAGTGCAAAGTTGAATTATGAAATTTATTACGAGTATTGCAAAAGGAAAAGCACTGCAGATAGGAAAAAATTGTGCAACCATAAAGATTAAAATATATGAAGCAATAAGTTGGAAATGTATGGATTAAAGTTAAAATTATTATTGAGAGAAAATTTTTATTGAATTTATTGCATCAAATCAGTGCGAAATAAATTAAATTATAACAAAGCTTGAGTTGTGAGTTTAATTGAATTTCTTTCTTACATTTCGATTTCGATTGGATTTGGACTTGGATTTGGTCTTCCACAGATATGAGCATTATTGAAAGATAATAGATACTACATACATATTAATTTTCCACTATTTCAATTATAATTACTTATATATCAATATACCTTAAAAGAATAAATACTTTTTGTAACAATTACTTCAAAAAGTAGTCAGATTCTAACAAAAAAATCGTAGTCAGATATATATACCTTTCTATTGCCAACTACAGAATAATTCAATAGACTTCTAGACCTCAAAGTAACTTGAAAAAGAAATTAGTGAAAGTCAAATATCGGCCAAAGTAAACTATATGATACTTTATTTCTTTGAAAAGAAAAAATTGTTGCAAAACATGACAAAAAAATTTGAACGGTTTTCTGGATTTATCAGAGATGCAACTCGTTTAGATCGACCAACCGATAAAATAACCCAATATAAGGAATTCTTCTGATGAAGGCAAAAGCGAATTTGCCGAAATATGTATAGAAATATACTAAAAATTAACGCACGAAATAAAAGTTGATACTTAAAAAAAACAAAAACCGAGTTTAACCCATTGAAATTTTGCAACTGATAGAGTAAGACTGAAGATAATGAAGACAACACACATAAACCAAATAATAGTTTGGTCAGGCTATGCAAAGACACTCGATGTATGGATACCGCATGAATTAACACAAACAAATTAGATTGAACAAATTACCATTAATGAAAAGCACTGAAATACAGTAGGTAAACTATTACAAACAATGAAATAGATTAAACTCCAAAGTATTCAACACAAGCGAACATGGTAAAAAGCCGGTAACCTCCCATAAATAACATCAAGAGCTATATTGACGGCAAACAAGGTAAACAAGGTTGAGCGTTTAGTTAAATTGGAAGATATTCTTCTATAATGATTCGGTGTTGCATACAAACAATATCAAGCGGCACACAACTTCGATGACTCGGCAAAAATTACCAGAACTTAGTTGGATAGGTTTGATACACTCAGCATGTAGTACCTTGTACCTTGTTTTGGTTTTCGCAAAATTCTCTTAATGAAGAATGGCCCGCCGAAGAGCCGTTGAAAATCTTTTAGCCCAGTTTTTCGAAGATAAGCAACTGAAATTTAAAAAAGTGGAACTAAAGTTGATATCTTGCTGACAAATCAGATCAATGGATATCCTTCATTTCATATTTACGAAAGTACTAAGTGATAAAGTAATTTAGAGTAAGATAGGTTCCACTTTGCCCTTTGATATAAGAGTTTAAAATGCTAGTAATTTCTAGTTACTTTTGTAACTTTAACTTTTATATCTCAAATTTACGATAATCAAATTTGATTATCATTCTTCGTTATTTTATTAACATATTTTTACATTTATGTACAATAATAATTTCACTTCTTTATGCATTTTTAAAGAACCTTATAAACGTATTGTGTTTATAGAGCATATAGAATAGACAACATACACATTTACATACTCGTAGTTACATATACATAAATTGAAAAGATTCTAGAGCTTGAATTTTTACGTCAATTAAATATCAAAAATAATAAAATTCTAACGAAAACTCCACCTGAAAGGAACGCACAATACAAATACACACAAATTTCATTTAAATAGAAGGTACGAGTGAGTGACAGTGCCAGGACCTGAAAAAGATAAACGATTTTATGTCCTTTCGTATTTGTATTTGCAGTATTGTTTGTCTTAAGTCAACGTCCACTTGACAGTCGACATCAAAAATCATGACAACGACAACTTTTACGACAGATAAAACAATGCAACAATGCCAACGAGTATCCTTTTTGTCCTTTAGTTTGTTGAGTTTTTTATTTCTTTTTTTTTTGTCTGATTTTGATTTTGTTATTATGAGTGTCGTTGCAATTGTTATTATTTTAGTACTTTTTTCTCCATTCGGTTAAAGTGACGTTACAGTGTACGTACATGAAATGGCGAGCAAGTCAAAAGCATACAAGCAAACTTAGGAACACCTGTATTCGGGCTTGTAGTGCAGTAGATTCTGTATAACAGGACTCAAGTCATTTTTCCTCCTGTCACGTGGTTTTACTGGTATTTTAAGGTTTTCATTTAGTTTCCTTTTTTGTGCTGAGACGGAGTCAGCATTACTGCAGCTTTACTTGTCTTTGGTGACATAAGTTTCGTTGTAGAAACATGCGTTTTAGATGACAGTGGGACTGGTTCTGTTGTGTGGCCTGTGGGCTACATTCTGCCTGTGAATTGTGCAAGTCCTGCAAATGTGTTCTCCTCACACATTGCGGTTGACGACATTAATATAAATGTGAGTGTAAATGCGCTGTAATTAAGTTTAAAAATGTCCCAAGTACTAACAAATGACAATTAAGCAAAGTTAATTTACAATAAATACTTTTCTTGGCATACAAATTGAGGGCAATAAGGTTAATTGGCAACACTGAAAGCGTGCAGCCTCATTCAAAACCTCGAGCTAAAGGAAGGAAGTACAAACATAGAAAATTGAAGTATAAAAAGCAAGAAACTTGATAATTGAATTGAAGAGACAAGTGGGTAGAGTCAGTTGTGATTTAGTTTTACAAACCACACTTGAAGGATATGTTAGGATTTCATGGAAAAATAACTGTAGATCTTAAAAAGGCTAAAAAAAATATTGTCGT